CCCCGGCCAGCAGCCAGGGAAGGGAGGCCCCGGCTGGCAGCCAGAAGGCCCCAATCAGCCCTGATCGCCGGCCAGGCCTAGGGATCCTACCCGTGCACAAATTTGGTGCACCAGGCCTCTAGTATATATATAATTTGTATTGGTTTCAGAGAGGAAAGGAGAGGGAGAGAGAGATAGAAACATCAATGGTGAAAGAGAAACTTCAATCAGCTGCCCCCTGCACGCCCCCCACTAATCACTAAATAGACGACTGCCCCTTCATTCTGGGGTTGGTCTCTTCTTGATTGATCTACCTTCACTCCTAGGGTGGCTTATCCAATCCACGAGGTTTAAATGTCATCCATGTGCTGTTGACTTTCCACATATTTCCATCCTGGACCTACCCCTGCAGTGGGCTCATGGCCCAAGTGAGTTTCTGGAAGTATTGGCACCTCAAACTGAACATATCCAAACTGAGCTTCTGATTTTCTGCCCCAACCTTGTTCCTCCCACAGTTTCCTCCATCTTAGTTAAGGGCAACTTCATTCTTTTAGTTGCTCAGGCCAAAGCCTGCAGAACCACCCTTGACTTGACTCTCTACACCACACATTTGATGCATCTGCATTTTGTCGGCTCTATCTTCAAAATCTTCCCAGGCTCAATTCTCACCACCAGTGTCACCATCATTCTTGTCCCAGCCTCCATCATCTCACCACTTGTATTGTAATAGCTACCTCACTCTCCTCCTTCCAATTTTCAATCCGTATTTGCAGAATTGCTTTGAGTTGAAACAGGCCATTGCTTGGCAGCACATGGAGTCTGCTTAGAAATGCAACTTTGATCTGAAAACAGCTGGAACTCCATTACAGACTATGACGTTTCTGAAAACAGGGCGATTTTGCAAGGCTCCCTTGCTAATGGAAACACAGTACTTCAAAGGGAAAGAAACTTCCAACAGACAGACCAAAGCCCTTGGAATTTTACCTGGGGGAGTTGTTGAGAGAATTTAGCAGCTGAAAAACTGCCCTGATTCTCTTCATCTCTTGCCTGGGATTTGAGGCAGGAACTTCTCTGACTCGGAGAAGCCATTAGTTATATTTTACAGTCGGCCTGGGCTCTTCAGCTGGGTCCATTTCAAGCTTCACTTCCCAAGAACCTTGTGTTTGTAGTTCACTTACTGTCCTATTTGTTTCACTCTCCTGAGCATGATCTATCTCACAAACCCCTCTCTACCTTCCTTTACTGCAATAATGTGTGGGCCCTGGGAGAGCAGTAGTTCAGTCTTTATAGATCAGAACTAGAAGCATCCTTAAGGATCTTCTGGTATAGGAGTCCACTAGATAGGAGAAAAACAGTGAAGTAGCAAGCTTTTTCCTGACCATGTTAGTTGTATCCCTTATTCCTTTTCTTTTTTTGATCCTCACCCAAGGATATGCTTACTGATTTGAGAGAGAAAGGAAGGGGGCAGGAGAGAAATGTGCTCCTGAGTGGTGCTGGGGTCCAACCCCAGTGGGTCCAGGGGTCCCCAAAGGTGTGGATGGAGTCGGCGAAGAAGGAATGACACGGAAGCAGCGTTCAGTT